AGCCGCCGATGAAAAATATCAGCGGCCGCCCGAAGCCGATTTTTTCGGAGTACATCACTTTTGCGACTTGGCGTCCACTGAAAAGAAGGTAGTGGTGGTTTAAGTAAAAAAAAAATGACTATTTCTCGATGGGTAAGTCTCAAAAATAGTGCGTGTCGGTAGTTTCGCAGCCAAAATAGTGGCGGGGCCCAAGTTTCGTTGCAAAAATACATCTTTTGTTCCAGCTTTACAGGTCCCAGTAGTTTCACAGCAACAATATTTGCGGGAGGGGTCCCACTTTCGTTGCAAAAATAAATCTTTCGGACCCCGACAACATTTCCGCTGGGAAACTTCGAAAACACACTATTTTTGCAATTATCCCTTCTTCTCGATTTATGTGTGTCATGCTTGCGCAGGGGTCATGATAATTTTCTGTGTATCGTTCCAATTTGAACAGATCTCTCGAAGGACGACTAACTGCTTGCTTTTCGGTTTTGAACTTTTGACCACCGGAAAGTCGTTCGGCTTGCAAAAAAACAAAGAAAGTCGTTCGGCTGCCGTTATTGCAGAACCCTCACGCGTGTGTCTCTATGGTCTTTCTCTCCTCCCAGTTCTGTTTCAGTGCAGTTTGAAAGAAATTCATATCTGCTGTGCCCGTTTTTTCTGTTTTCTTTTTTCATTTCTTCCTTTTAGAAGGGCGACGACCTGGGGGCCTGGCAATAATTACCAGGACTCACCTGGTGTACACACTTCAGGCACCCAGGGGGAACTGGTGGATCTGTGCTTTCTCAGCTGTAAGGCAATAGGTCATATCCGCAGGGACATGGTGTGGTCTACCAAGCTGGGGCTGTGGAAGAAGACACAGCTGAGTTGCTGCCTTCCAGAAACAGCGGACGCAGTCTACAACCAGCTGCTCTTCGACAATAGGTTTATAATGCTTTATAAGTTTATATGTGACGAGATCGGTGAGCCCTTCCAGTGGCATGGTCTGCGAGGAGCATTCGGGTGGTAGTGGGCGGAACAGGGAATAAATAAAGTTGGGCTTTTGTGGGACGAGGACTGGAGGGACTGGCGCCCCGAAAACGACGTGCTGGATTCCTTGCAGGGACGGATGAGGAAAATGCGAAGGCTGGCGGAACTGCGGGAAGCCAACCCCCCCTCCTCCCCCCACCCCCCCCTCCCCCCACTGGATTAAGACGCTGAGAAGAGATGATATCTCTCCAGGGGAATGGGTGAAAGTAAAAGGGAGTGACTGCCTGGCACGTGTCATCTGGGTCGAGCAGGTGCTGCCAGACGATAAGCTGGAAGCGACTGCCTGGTGCGTGTCATCGGGGTATGCTGGATTGGGGCAACCCCTCCCTCCAGGCCTGCACCGCACAAGAGGGCGACCCCCAAAAAATGCTGGACAGAAGTGTGGCGGTATGTGAAGGAGGCCCGAAGGCGACAGGGACAATATTTGCCTTTCCGAGTTGCACTTCGAAAGTAGGATTTGGTGTGGGACCCGGGGGAATGGCAGTGGTCGGCCTGCAGGATGCAAAGGAAGACGGTGTAGCCCCAGTGTCTCACCACGAAGAACATTTACGACTCGCTGCTTGATCCTGTGGACGTATGTGGAGAATTGAAAAATCAATGGCCCAAGAGGGATTGGATCCCAGATGTGTATGTCAATAGATGGACTCAGCACAGATGGAACGAGCAAAATGCTATTTTGGCTGCCCAGCCAGACCAGAAGCAGGCAGGCCTGCTGTGGCAGCTATACCATTCTTGCGATCCCCACAGCACAATGGCTTGCAGCAAGGAGTCGGCACAAGGACCAGTTATGTGCAGCAGCAGTATGCGGCCAAGTGGAGACCATTCCGCACCTCGTTGTGAGGTGCCTGCTGGTCCGGCCCTTCTGGGAATCTGATCAACAAGCCAGATACATCCTCAAAAATCCAAGTGTGAGGATGGGCTCAGTATTGTCTGATCAACATTCTAGCTGAGATATCTCGTCAAGCGTTGATGTTGAGAGTCGTCAATGAAGGGTTGTTTGTGGTCCCTTGAGATTGTTTTTTGGAATGTCATGTCGGTCGATGTCGTGTTTTGACTTTTCACCAATTGGCCTGCGGGTTGTTCATCGTTTTGTCATTTTGCTCAAACGAGGAGAGTTCTGAGATTTGCAAAACAAGCGTTTAGTCTGCACCTGGTCAACCGAAGAAAGGTGCTAAAAAATGTAAGAAAAGATGTTAAAAAAGCGCGAAGAAAAACTGGAGGTTGCGGTGAACCACAAGTCCTGTGCTAGATGTGCATTCTGCTCAGAAGAAGCAACTTTTTTTTTTTTTTTTTTTTTTTGTAATTTGGACCATTTCTCGATTTATGCATGTCATCCTTGCGAAGGGGCCATGCTAATCTTCTCGGTATCGTTCCAATTTTAACGGATGTCCTGAAGAAGCAACTCATGGTAATTTGATATTCTTTACTTGTAGAATTGACTCTGTAGGAGTCTGTACTGTGTTTCTTTGTCCTGCAGGCTATGCTGCTTCTCCAGGTAATCGAGAGTGGTGTCGTGACGTACTATGTCTGCTTTGCGGAGGATCCGGCGACGCTTGAGCGCAACGATCCCCAGTTCTTTCAGGTCCTGCAACAGCGGCGTGATCAGGCACAGCAGTGACGACAGCGCCCCCCACGTTTTTCTTTTCTTTGTCGACATGGAGCGAGAGAGATCTGTGTATGGTGGGTGATGAAAAATGGTAGTGCAAACTGGGTATGAACATAGACATGGCGAGGATCTGGTGTCTTTATATTTCCTTGTCAGTGATTGTATTATGGTGGGAGAGACTTGTACAGCCCGGAGGGAAGAGGAGACAGTAGGCGCAGAGAAGGGAGGCGGGTAAGAAGATGACGGGAAGAGGGGGGGGGGGGGGGGGGAGGATGCCACTTGAATGGCAGTTGTTTTGCCTGAAGGCTATTGTTTTGCGATATCGCGACACATTGGAGGGAGCAGACATGTAGATTGAGGAAAGATGGGCTCTGCGAAGATTTCCTGTGTACGAGGAGAGAATGGGTTCGACGATGCGGGGAAGGGAGAAGTGTGAAGTGGATGAAGTTAGACTTGCATGAAGGCTACTGGTGCGGCAGCGCAGCACACGTCAGGAAATAGACTTGTAGATTGAGACACAGGCGCCGCCGATTCTTCACTATAGCGATTAGGGGGTCAGGGATCATGCGCGAGTGAGAAAAGCGGGGGGAAGGAAGCAGGACGTGCACTGGGTGGGCAGGGCAGTGCAGTCTCGTCCCATAAGGTGGCTGGTGCGCAGCACTGTATCCCTAGCAAGAAGCAGTTCCTAGACTGAGGCGAAGGCTGTGTGGAACGGTCCTGCATTAGGAAAGAGATGATTTGAAGGCAGGGGTATGGAGCACCTGACCCTTGGGAGCAAAGCAACCATGGAAGCGAGATAAGATGCTTAAACCTCGACTCCTGCTGCACGACCAAGAAAATTCCCAGTCGGTATAATCGGTCGGGCCCAACCACGCTTAGAAAACAGGTGTGGTGCAGGTTCGGACAGGGTGCAAATTGAAGATGCTCCCCAACCAGGTTTGGTTGGGATTCCAGCCCAGGCTTGGGGTATGGCATCAGAAAAAGGTATGGTGGTTTAAGGAAACTAGTCCTGTGCCGTCCACGTCGAGACGTCCTTCAAGGCAGGTGACGCCATCACAAGGACCTTCAGAGTTAGGTAAGCCCATCACATTGACCTTTCGACGTAGGTAAGGCCATCACATTGACTTCTCGAGGTAGGTAAGCCCGTCACGATGACATGTCCACAGCGAAAAGGGGATACATGGGCAGTGGCTCCTTGGATGGGTGGATGGACTGGCAGGTGGCTGCACTCCTTGATGTAGAATGATGGTCTGCTGACCGAAGGGATCTGTCCGCGTTCAGAGAACAGAAGGTGGGAAGAGGTGCATCCTGTCCGTGAATAATTCCTTCGCAAACATCATGATTGCTATGCAGCCTTGGCGGCAGAGATGAAAACAAAATGGATGCATGGATGGATGGATGGATGGAGGGAGGGAGGGAGGGATGGATGGATGGATGGAGGGAGGGAGGGAGGGATGGATTCATCCCTGAGAGCGAAAGGATGGGGGTGGACTGCAACAGGAATGATCTTCCCGTCGCTGCTGTTTTCATGTTCTGGCTTTGTTGTACTCACACTTGGGATTTCCTTGATGTATCTGACTGTAACTATGCTTGGGTTCCGATGCAGAAGTCCTAGTTTGTCCCGTACTCGTAGTTTCTGTATTCTTTACTCTTTTCTGTTGTCAACCGTGTACTCGTTTTATGAAAGGGTCTGCATAGTCTTTCTGACTGTAGCTGGGCATGAGATCCCGTTGCCCGCAAAAATTTGGAACTATCATTGTCCCACTTCCTTGATTCGACACATTGGCCGCAAAGTTGTTATGTGCATGTGGCAACTTGTTCTTCAAATTTCTGTGCGCACAGGGTTCAAAGAAAGCTAGGAGGTTTCAAATTTCTCTTTGGGTGGAGTAGTAAGGTACACTTGCAGGGTGATGTGGATGTGATTTTTGGGTTTTGAAATTCTGCGAGTGTTCCCTATGTTTGGACATGGCGAGTGTCGCTTACAGGTTTGATGAGGCATGTGGAGCTGTGTTTTGTTTTTTTCTTTGTGTGCATGTGTGTGTGTGTGTGTGTGTGCGATAAAGCGATGCGGCTGCTGATGCTGCTATCCCACCACTGCGAACAGGTTATGGTAATGTGTGTGTGTCATAAAGCGATGCGGCTGCTGATGCTGCTCTCCCACCACTGTGAACAGGTTATGGTAATGTGTGGCACAGTGTATGTCAGAAAGTGATGCGGGTTTGTAACTCTGCGATTGTTTCCTGTGTTTGGACATGGCGAGTGTCACTTACAGGTTTGATGAGGCATGCGGAGCTGTGTTTTTTTTTTTCTTTGTGTGTGTGTGTGTGTGTGTGTGTGTGTGTGTGTGTGTGTGTGTGTGCATGCGTGCTTGCTGCATGCCTACCTGTGACTCTGCCTGCAGCACTGCTTGTGCGCGTGTGTGTGTCTCTGTGTGTGTGTGTGTGTGTGTGTGTGTGTGTGTGTGTGTGTGTGTGTGTGCTTGCTTGCTGCATGCCTACGTGTGAGTCTGCCTGCATCACTGCTTGTGCGCATGTGTGTGTGTGTGTGTGTGTGTGTGTGTGTGTGTGTGTGTGTGTGTGTGTTTCTGATAAAGCGATGCGGCTGCTTATGCTGCTCTCCCACCACACAGGTTATGGTAATGTGTGTGTGTGTAATAAAGCGATGCGGCTGCTGATGCTGCTCTCCCACCACTGCGAACAGGTTAGGGTCATGTGTGTGTGTGATAAAGCGATGTGGCTGCTGATGCTGTTCTCCCATCACTGCGAACAGGTTATGGCAATGCAGGTGGGTCATCATCATTTAGAAGCTAGGAGCCTAGCATGGAGGATTGTCAGTTTTGTCAGCCTCTGGTAGGGGAGATTTTTTATTATTATGATGAATTCACGATTGGATTTATTGGTATCATGTAACTGGGCGTACTTTTTGTCAATTCGACATGTGTGGTTCCCTTTATGCACAACTGTGAGTGGCTCATGGCATGAGAGGAAGGAAGGTTTACTTTGGTATAATTTTTCAGTTTTTTTGTGTCATGTAACTGGAAAGTTACGGAATGTACTTTCTGGCAATTTGGAGGGAAGGTATGAAGTGGGAGAGGAGCGATCTGGTTAACGATTATGTCTCCAGATCGGCATGCATGTTTTCAAGGAACATTTGTATTGTGAACACCTTTATATTATGTAGACATGACGATTTGTTGATGTATGAATGTAGTGCGTTCGTATTCGCTCTTGTTTACCCGGACAAATGAACTGCATTCGTATTTTTGTTCTTAATACTTCTTATTTTCCCTAACGAACTTCCTTGTGGCACGTTGGAGTGGCTGGTTCCCAGACCAGCAAGCCACCGGCACCCACGCGACCCACAAGGTGACGTGGTCGGCTCTGGGCCCGCCTAAGCCAGTTTGGGTGGGCGACGGGCGAGTGTAGCTAGCCGGCCTTTGTGGGTGATGAGTGGGTGAAGATTTGGTTTGGGTCATTTGATGGATGGATGACAGGTGGGTGGTGGTTTGGCTTGGGTTGCCGACCACAAAATCAGGCCGAGCCGCAAAATGTGCTCCCCCCCCCCCCCYCTTCTTTTCCTTTCAAAAAGGGCATGGGTCCCGCTGCGGGAACCATGAGAGTTGAGAAAAAGAAAGGGTGCGGGTCCAGTTGCCCAGGCCTGAAAAAAGAGCCAGGGAAAAAAAAGGCGCCTTCTCACGGTCCAGGGCCGACCTCAGGCCTGAAAAACGAGCCAGGGAAAAAAAAGGCGCCGTCTCACGGTCCAGGGCCGACCTTATGCCCCTAAAGAAAGAGAGAGCGAGCGCATCTAACTACATTAGGAGGCTAGATTCGCTCCCAATTTCAAACTCGCTGCATGAAGGATTTGCACTCCTGGTCCCAGGTTTGTACCGGGTGATGCTGGTGGGTGGTGCAAGGTGAAGCAGTGGCGGTATTGCCAGGCAACACTAAGGGCCAGTTGGCAGTGCTACAGCGAGGAGGGAGAGAGAGAGGGGGTGGCGGTGACTTGGATGAAATTGAAAGGGATTGGCATGCGCGGGAAGGATCCGAGTACGGGCTGGTAATGATGTTCTTCTCAAGTGTGTGTGCAGGTCTGGGTGGAGGGCTTTTTCCGGCCGGACGGCAGGTCAGATGCGGATCATGCGGGGTAGAAATTTCAGAGAAAAACCTCGCATACTTGAGAACATCATTACCCGTCCAGACTGGAACCCCACCCTTGAGAAAATCATTGCATACTTCCGGAGTCGGTTATACCCTTGGGAAGATCTTTGGACTGTCCAGACGGGAACCCTACCCGTGAGAAAATCGTCGCATACTTACGGAGTCGGTTATACCACCACTGCTTTCCACCCTCTTTTTCCCAACAGTCGCTTTTCCCCCGGGCCTGAAATTCCCGAACCCCGTCCTCGCCAAGGGTTAACCAAAGGCGAAGGCATCCTTTTCGCTCTTGAAAGCTTGACTCCGCTTGAGCCTTCCCGCGGTGCTGCATTACTACATGTTGCAGGTGCCCCAGCTGGTGCGTTCCCCGTGCTGCATTACTGCATGTTGCAGGTGGCCCAGCTGGCGCGGACATACTGATGGTTTATTCAAGTAAGTCAACTTTATTGTGAAGATTTGGAGTTTCTACCGTCTTGACCCGAATAGAACGCCCGGTCATTATAGCTGTCCTTTGATGCAACTTTCAGTCCAGATACGGCAATAAGTACCGGGTGTTCTATTTGGGGTGAAGACGGTACTGGGGAATAGTCTGTCCTGTGCGTTTGAGGTGCTTGATGAGGGAAATTTGCCAAGTCCGACTGGAAAGCGCTGCGATCTCATGCTATGCCTGGCTTAAATAGCTGCTGGCCACGTCTGATGGATCCGTAGGAGTACGAGTCGTCTTAGTGAACCCTAGGACCCCCCTGTATCTAAACCTGAGTCATTCCCAAGGAGCATGAGTATCTTTATTTCTCTACCAGTTCCTCTCCCTCCCCTCTCTCCTCTCCTACCCTTTCTCCCTGCATTCGCTAGTGGGGCTTTTGGCATAGTGTTTATAAGTTATTCAGTCTTTAATTTTCATATCACCCCTCCTAACAGCTAGACTGGGTTACCCAAAAAAAAAAAAAAACTTATTCGAATGCGGTGAGTGCCTTCCT